AATATTTCCTATTTTATGAACTAAGTTCTAGGAGAATTGTTGAAATTCAAGTGAATTCTTTTTCCTTGTGGCACCTTTGCTACCAAGATGTTATGCAAAGATTAAAAAATCAGAATGTAATATGGGCAAAATATCAGGAAATGAGAAGAGATGTCTATGTATTTAATTTCTTTCTTCCAGTGCAGTCTTTACTATGTCTGTTGTGGATAAAGAGAAGTAAATCAGACATGTTATATCTTGTTGGATAATGCTTGCTTTCGTGCACCACTCATATGCTGCAAAAGCTACATCTGCTCACTCTGCATAGAACAACAAACATTTCATTCAACATGACTAACACACCAATCCAAGGGCAACATCAAAAAGAAGCCTACCTATTTTAAAGTAAAAAATACAAATCAAAATTTTTACCTGATGTTTTTTATCTCTTGAATTTTTTATTATCCTGACAGAGTGTTAGATAAGCATTACTCTGAGCAGGCAGGTTTGGTGGGCAGTATCACACTGTTACACAAATAAAACATGTAGATCCATTGAAAATTTTCATACAAAATTTGATGTAAGCATGATTTTTCCTAATTGTGTTGTGTTACTTGCAAAGACAGCTACTCTGCAGGGTTCTGTTTTTCAATAACTTGGACCTTAGATTCAAACTACGTAATTCTAACAATTTTTGTGACAATGGAGATGACTTGATGGAAATAAGATACTTTTAATTTACATGGCAACCCTGATCTGACCTAGAATTGTCAGAAAACACAAGAATAGTGAGAACTATTTATCAGTTTGGTTTTGCCTAAGATAAGGATAAGAAAATCTATTACTAGACATGCAGTTTTACTATTAGTAATATTAAATATAATGAAATTATTAGTACCTCACATCCTGGTCTCAGCTATTTCACCTTGGCTTAGTCAAATCTGAGTTACAGTACCACAGGCCTTTCTCCAAATTTATTATTAATTTATAACTTCCACTAACACAACACAGATCATATTCCCTCACAAAAAGATGCTACCAATAAATTCCCTTTACTAGCACCATGAATAGAATTCACTCCACACATCTTGAGGAATGGTGATACTTTTTATGCCGTTCATGGCTGGAGAAGGGACTAACAAATAAGGATTTTATTTCTTTACAAAGGAATAAGAACAACTCTCTTCAACTGGCAATGATTAACATTACTTAGAGTCAAGTTTATCAAGTTTGAATGTCAACCTGGAAGTACCACAGTAACCCTTAAACCACTGAAGATCACCCAGATGTTATGAACAACACCAGCCAGATCCAGACACCTCATAAACACCTCTAGGAATGGTGACTCCATCACCTCCCTGGGCAAACTATTCCACTGCTTGACCACCCTACCACTGAAAAACTTTTTTCTAATATCTAATCTGAATATCCCTGTCTCAGCTTCAGGCCATATAACAGCTAATCTATGGTTTGATAAAATATATATGCTGTTTTATCACAAGACTTACAGTGATTTAAGAATAAATGTGATAAAAAGACTAGATGCCATGTTCACCACTGCAAAAAGTGGGCATATTTACTTTTACTTTATACCTTTTACCCCTTCATCCTCAATACATTTAATGATTCCATATTGTACTTCCATCATTCATGATCTGGGTTGAAACTTTTCTGATAATTATGCAGCTGAAGGGTTTCTTGCTCCAGCATTTACCTGAATTCATGGTTGTAAGAACAGAATGGACTTGTGGCCCACTTTTGAATCTCTGATATAAAATAGGCACCATAATTTTTCTAAGTATGTTTCTGTTTAGCTGTATATTTGTGATACTTTTCAGAAACACAGCCACAAACACTGATTTTAAAATTTCCAGTTGTGAGAAATTTCATTGCAACTATTCTAGTGGTTTCCTTTCATTAAAAAAAAAAAAGGAAATTATTTATTTCCATTTTGGATTTAACTGAAATTTATTACTCCCCTCTATTCCCACTGAAGTTGTGATAGATGCTTCTGGACTTCGTAATCCTTCAACTATGGCATCATAGTGGGAGATCATCATTTTTGATAATGTGACTTTCCAATTCCTTTTCATTAGGAAACACTACTTTCCAGAATTATGCATTTAGGAAGCAAGGAACAATTCAGATGTAACAATACCCCTAGAAATCCTGAAGTCATAAGTTAAATCTTTATCAATATCTGCCTTGATAATTTCATACAAGATTCTAGCATTTTAATTCTTCTGTAGTATCAAGAAACACATCTTATAAGACTACATTATAGCAAGTCTGATATTTCTATTTGGAAAGATACAGTCTCATACAGAAAAATCTAATTAGTTTAGCCATATGCATTTTTTGTAAATTTATATTGAATAACATAATTGAAATCACTTTTAGATCTTGCATTACTTGATCTGAAATGCCTTGTATTGATAGGCATTAATTAAAAAGAGAAGTGTAAAACCAGGTTTCCCAGATCCCAATGCCATTGGGACCATCTTGTGGTAATTCTAAAGTCAAGTCATTCTAAGAATGAATGTCCTTCAATTTTTCCTTTATTGTGGATGTTTTTGAGAGGTTATTGCAGTTTATTTTAAATGTAAATTCTCCTGTTCAGAGAACTGAAGTTGTAAGTTCCTTCTATTTGGGAAAAAACTTGTTTGGGCAATAGTTATTTTGCTTCCTTCAGCAAAAGGCTGCCTGTTTCTTATTTCACATATACAATGAGGAAATCATTAATAAAACTACTCTGGGATATTGTAAAGCAATTTGTTGCATGATTCTAGTCTTAAGTCTCTTTTTCCAACTTTTAATAACATAACAATTACTGTGACATTTTAGGTGAGTTACATACTGCTTAGAGTTTCATAAGACTTTAGCTATTCTGTGTCATGTGGAAAACTCTGGAAGTGTTTCAGTGTTGTACTTCAAATCCCTTTATAATTTTGTTTGTTTGTTTGTTTGGAGTTTTTTTGTGAGTTTTGCCTCTAAACAAATAAACAAATAATTCTAGATAAAGGTTTATACTCTTAGGAATCCAACTTAAAAGATAGCTCAGTAGTTCCATGTAACCCTTAACTCACTTTTTGGCCTCATCCTCCATATTTCTGCCAGAGAAAGAAAGGGCATACTTATTAGGCAATGCTGTGCTTGTGTTGGGTCCTGATTTCTACCAGCATATAGAAGCATCTGGGGCTCTGGATGTATGGGAAACCTGCAGATCTGTATCCAGTCTGAGGATAAAGCAAGAATTAGTTTCTGTCATACCAGAGAAGTATTTCACAAGCTTTTCTTCTAACAGAAATGAAAATTGGGAGATGAGAATGCAGCATTTTGTCAAGTAGTTGTTGTTCTTATGCAATGCATTTTTGGAAGCTGTCTACCATCATTACAAGTCAGATGCATTGGTCTACCATCAGATAAATACCTTTGGTCCAGCATCTCCCTCGCCTTTTGCTCCTTTTGGTCCTTCACGGCCTGCTGGTCCTGGAGGTCCCTGGTATAGCAGAGCAATAAAGCATGTCAGTAGTTGTCTTAAGGTACTTCTGTTCTTCAACAGAGATGAGAATTTCTTCACATTTCTGATGTGTAGTGAGTAACAGACATCCTCAGTCCCAGGCAGAAACCTAAAACAACTCAGATTGGTGGAAAAAAGACTTCTTGACTTACGAACATTGTTCTCAGCTCAGAGAAAACAGTGAGAAAGCAGACATTGATTCATATGCTGCAAGCATTAGACAATTAATTACCAGAGCTATCCCATCTAAACATAGGGGTTACGTAACCTTAACATACTTGTGTGTACTTGTATTTGGTAGTCTGTTCTCCCAAACTCCCTGCTCAATTCATCTGCCCCTTCAGCTGCCTTTCATACTGCTGGAGGCATTCCCAGGCTCCCTTTCAGCATGCATAGGGCAGATGGCTTTGACCCATCCTGCTACCTACTTAGCCATATAAATCTTGTCTATGTCTGACAGTGTCTTTCCAGCTCATGGGGCACAAAATGGCAGGGGAAAAACATTACCATGAGACACCACAACAGAACCTTTGCACATTACACAGCAGGAAATGTGTCAGGTACATAGCATTACACCAGGAGTGCTGTGTGAATGCATTATGTAATAATTCTGATCCCAAAGGACCTTCTCTGTGTCAGTTTGAATGATAGGAAACTGGAGCTGAGTAGGAATTTGGAAGCACTCAGGTCCTACCTCAGTGCATTTGGGAGTGTTTGGGAAGGTTGTAGTTTTAAATAAAGCTGGATTAGACACATAAAGAAAATAGTGCTAGTGGAAGTTTGACATGTGCTGATTGAAGGATGGCAACATTATTTCCACTTTCTAGTGGAAAAGAGAGAGGCTGGTCAAACATGTCTATGTGGTTTTGGGTGACTGAAATTTAGGATGATATGTCCTTGTAATGGAATGTGCCAGCTGGGATACTCAGGTATTAATTCCCTCTGAAGCCAACCATCAGAAAAGCAAGAGGTGAAAAATCTTCAAATTAGAGGATTTAACTGCCCAGTAGGAAAAGCAGCTGAAAATCCAAGGAACTGGAACTGCAAAATTTGGTCAAGAAGACAGTATTAGAAATCTTGACCAGAAAAGAGTAAAGAAAAGGGAGGCAGAAAAAAAAATTCAAACCAGTGATTTTATTTAAACATGTATGAGCAGCCATAAAGATTTTTATGGAATTACATGGTATCCCTTTCATGACAATGAAATGAGAACCATTTATATCCAAATTTAGTTCCATCTTCTTGTACAAGTGGTGCTGTATCTAGTAAAGGGCTTCAAAATATCCATGAAACATTTAAATTAGCTAAAGGATGATTAACTGCACTTCGTTAAGTAACTAAATCTAAGCAACTAAATACTGTGTTATCACATAGTAATTTTGTTGGGGTCTTTTTATTTTATATGTGCATACACATATCCATGTACAGATGGTTGTTTTGTTTTTTCTTGAACACAAAGTACGGAATTAAAACTACTTACAGCTTCACCTTTGTCACCTTTGTCAGCTTTTGGTCCTTGGGGTCCAGGTGGCCCAGGTGGTCCTATGCGCCCCTAAAAACAAAATAGGAAGTCAGAAATTATGCAACTACCTGGACTACCACAGTGTAAAGAATATTAACAAATATGTAAGGAAGCTATTTAAAATCTTTTTGGAAATATAGAATAGCAGTTACCAGCTCTTAAAATTTGTCTACAAAATTCAGGAATTTCTATGCTTTTTTAATTGTGGTTTCAATTGAATTAATTAAGATTTTAGAAGAATAAGAATTCTTATTAGGAAATTGTTAATTTCTGGATTTGTCATTGCAGAAAGAAATTTCCAGAGCATTGACTTTGTATTCAGCACATATAAAGTTAAATTTATTTTCAAAACCAAACTTTTATCAGTTTGGGGGTAAGTTTGAGCAATGAGAACTGAATTAAGAATACTGAAACATGACATGCCAGCCTTAAGTTATATATGCACATTTTGAATTTCCAAGTAATCACATTGGTTCTCTCATACACTAAAGCAAAATTTCATTCTACAAGGGAAAGTAGGAAAAGAAAGAAATTCAACAATTATAAGAAAAAGTGCAGCCTAAAGTGCTCTCTTATCAAAAGACAATTACTCCTTCTATTGACCCTTCCACTGACTCCCACTAAAGGTTTTTGCATCTGCAAAATCTCAATGCTTCCTTTCATGGCCAGACAAGAAGTAAATAGCAAACTTTTCCTCTTTACTCACTCCAGTGAGAGTTTTCCTGACATTTAATGAGAAAATTAGCTGAGCTTGAAATAGACTGTTCACAGAACCCAGAAAGAAAAAATGTTGCTTTGAAGCATCTCTGAGGGTATGTTGCTGGTCTGTACTGTAGATGCTCACATGACAGCACTGGCAATGGGAAATCCTCATGGATGTGTGTGTGCACATGCACCTCCCTCCCAGCATGTTATGGATATTGTGGCTGTACAGAGAGAGCTGCACGCCCTTCACTGTCCCACAAAACCAAGAAATATTAATGCACTCTATGAAAGAGTCAACAACTTCCTGAGTGTTGTTAATGTACGTAGGTATAACATATCCTCGAGAATAATTACGTATAAATATTTCCTTGTCTACACCAGTAAAAGGAAATAACAAGGAAAATGAGACTACAAGGGACAGAAAACACTTGTTTCCTTGTGCATAGTGCCTGCAAATTTCTACAATAGTATAATACTTCAAGAAATCGAGAGTTCAGGTAGCAGCTCAGACCTCAGCACCTGGTCTGTCTGAATACAATGTCCATGTCTGGACAACAAATCAGCTTGTATTCTAGTTGGATATACAACTAAAACAAACTTTTGGCCAAAATCTCCTGCCCCATGAATGTCTCTACCATAGACACAAATAATCTATTCTTATTACTCAAATTAACCCTATCAGAAAAATGGAATACATGCTTTATGATGCCTATACATCATAGGTTTAGGCTATCAGGTAGGTAAATTAAGAAAGACAAGGTAGACTCAATGTTCTGGGTAAGATGAGACACTAAAATTACTTTAGATGAAATGTGGATAGTGATGTTAGCATGCCTTATGCCTAAATAAGTTTTATATAGTAGGTCATTCCTGAATGAATTGCATCCATTCCTGAATACAATGGGACAGTTTCACTGAAAGTCTTTAAACAGACCCTGACCACCAGATTCAAACTGTGTCAGCTCTCAAAGATGTCTCTTCATGTCTCCTAATTTTCAAATGATGGAATTCTGATCCACCTCTGTAAAAATGTAAACAACCAGCATACTTCTAGATCATAAATAGCTTTATAATGGAAAGTCAATTCCATCTCTTCCTGATTCTTAATATCCATAGATATTAAACTGTAGATAAAATGAGTAATGTTTCAGAAATTTTTATTTAACAAGAAAGGAAAACATAAATCATGTGTTCATATCTGTTTTTACTTCTAATCTCACTAAAGTAAAAACCAACCAAACAGATGGCTTTTTCATTTAATCCCAGCAGGCCACTGTAAATACCAGATACATATTAACACATTCTCTTCTGTGAGAATTGGGTTTTTGTCATGTGTCTGGGCTTGCTATTAGTAGCATAACCATAAATGCTATAAATCTTCTTAGGTCAAATCTATGGCCGAATCTTATATAAGAAACAGTTCTCCAGTCCAGATTATTTTTTTTTGGGGCTTTTTAAACAGTAGAGATGGCCTAAGTGCTCTGGGATTACTGCTTCCCACAATTTTATGGTGTCTGGAAGAGAAAGTCACAGTGACTCACTCTAAGTCAGTGCACTAATAAGAGAGCGAATGCCATGATACCACAGATAGTCTGCTAAATGAATTCATCTGCTTTTCCAGACTTTCCAGGGCAGGTTCTAAAGTGTAGCAGTGTGGTAAAATGGATGGTGTTTGCTGCTACCTTCCAAAAGCATCTTCTGAAAAAGCCACTCGGGCAAGTACAAGCGCTCAATCCACCCTCACAGCACAGCTAGGTTAGTGAAGAAAGATGGAAAGGGTCTCTGTACAGAGTTTCAGCGAGGCTCATCATAGAGTCACGCCAAAGGATTCCAGGGACAAAAGGCAAACAGACAGGGCAGGGTCCTGGGTTAAGTATTGGGCCAGGAGCCAGTCATTTGGGGGTACAGGGGTAGTAGAAGGGGCAGGGCAAAAGGCAATGACCTATGGGGAAAGGGCAGATTAACATAATACTGCAGAACATCATGGGAGAAGCCCCTTTTGACTCACCCTAAGGAGTGAGGCATTCTCAAAGCCATTGGTAAATTCTTCTGGGGCACTATCATAGAATTTTCCCTAATAGGCTCAAGGCCTCCCCACCAAGCAGTTTTACAAAGTAATAATGCAAAAATTGTTGCTTCTACATCCTTTCAGAATAACAAAAATTTGTTGTTTTTATTGTATTTGTATTTGTTGTATTAGCTGACAAATTGTTGTATTTGTTGTATATGCATTATATAAACATAAATTTTGCACCCATGGTGATTAAAATAAAATAAAACAACTATTATAATCAAAACTTAATTGATTAAGGATATCACTGCACAATTAAGTCTTGTTCATCACTCCTTTTTATAAGAATAATAGAGTGAAGTAATTTCTATTTTAAAGACAAAGGAAATTAGAGTTTTCAAAAATCAGAAATAAAAGTTACTGAATGGTTCAATGTGCTATTCAGCATCCTCTGGTAGAGGTAGAGGTAGAACTGTGTCAAGCTAGGAGCAAATACCACTACTGGTATTTCTAAAACATTATAATGCAAAAGCTATTGAATTAAGTGGCTTTATTTTGAGCTACATTGTGTTAGGTATACATAAATGAATTGATTTCTGAATTTGGGTCTATTGTCTATATTTCCACAAAGTGAAGTTATGAAACTGAGTGGAATATTTTTTATGCAGACATGCTAAAGTGGAAAAGAATAAAAAGATGTTTCTGAAGAAGGTGCCCAGTTTCAGTCTGGAAAGGAGATCATAAGAATGGTACATTTCCCTAAAATACTCCCTTATCAGAAGTGGCAGAAGTCTTAAAGAAAGTTGCAACCCCAGATCACAAGTGACAGAAGTACAATATGATATAAAGTGTGTTAGAAGGGAAGAGGTGAATTTGAAGAACTGCCTTCCAAATGAAGACTTCCTATGTGAAGTTTGCAGGGTGAGACTAGTTATATAATACTGGACTAGTTATTTATACAATTTTGTGTTTCTTCTTTGTAAAGATAATCAGTTTATTTTGGAAATAGACATAACCTGGAATGATGGAGAAGTTGAAGAATTAGTGAATTCCTTTACTTAAAAGATTCAAGTGGTGTCTGCATTTTCACAGGAGTTTTGCATGTCTCACACTTATTTACTTTCTATCTTTTGTCTAAAAACTCCTACCGTTGGTCCCATTATTGAATTTCCAGGACGTCCATCATCTCCTGGTGGTCCCTTGTGTCCTGGATCTCCCTATCCAAAAAGAAACAAATTCAGAACTGTATTAACTATATTCAGTTTTAACTTCAAACATTTTACAGAAAAGAGCAAATATTCAGTTCTTCCTTAGAGTGACAATTTTTTAGCTAGGTAACATGAAACCAGTATTTCCAGAGGGAGGTTTCACTGCCTTGATTCTGACCTCTCTTACACTTCTGCTTCTCCCCAGCTGTGTAAAAGAGTTTGTTCTACCTTGACAAATAACTTGATGGCTTTAGTTTTCAGATGAATGTTGAATGTCATAATTCACTTTGAGAAGCCAGATGTACCTGTGGCTCCTACCTACTTTTGCCCACAAACAGGCTGCGTAACCTTGTTTCTGTCACAGCACATAGAGAACAGCAAGGAAATTCAAAGAGAAGTGCTGAGACAGAGTATGTTTAGAAAGCCTATAGATGCAATGGCACAGCACTTCAAAATTTCAAGTTCCATAGTCTGAAGTCTCAGGGAGAAACTTGAGTTTTCCACAAATATTACACAGCACAGCTCTTTGGCAACAGCTCTGGCAGTGGCTTTCCGGGAAAGCAATCAGGCTTAGAATTCATGTTCCTTATGTTAACCCTTCACGGAGCAAAATTTGGCTCCTTCTAGTGTTTAAACTTTGGCAACAGATGTTTCACTTTACCTTAAGGAACTTACTAAGAAAATCTAAATTTGCAATGAAACATTTGCAATTTCTCAGTAAGAAGAACATGCAGTATTTCAGGAAACATTCATTAAGGAATGCGATTAAATGCTCTATCAAAACTACTGAGCAACTGTAACCATGACAAAGAATTACAAAAACCAGCTTTCTAATGTCACTGTCCCCATATTAGTAACATAATTACTGTTAAGGGAAATAAAACTTCAGTCCTCAAATGTGGGTGTATCTTAAAAGAAGTAGACTCCTCATGGACATAACCATGGCTGCCCAGGAGGTAGGACCTCTAGCAATCACTAATCACCATCTCAGATACTTAGAGATGTCCCAAAAAGACCTCAGACTCCCAGAAGTAACTCCAAGCTTTGAGAAATATTCTCTGCATTAGAAATGTATCATGTCTATCTTCTCAATTGCAGACACCAGGATGTTTTAGGAACAAAATTAGTAGTTATCGTTGTACTTTCCACAGCTGAAAGATAAAACAGACCTGTGTAGCTGATCAACTGTCCAAAACATAGTAGATATTTGTTTAAATCAAAGAAGTTATGATGGAACTAAAGAAACAAAGTTTTGTATATTTTCTAAAAATCAACATGCATTTTATAATTACCCAAATACTTGGTGTTTTTCCACCAGCTACTGCCCATATAAACTCTGCTCTAAAATTTAGTAAAGAATTTCAAAAGACTCCTACAGACTTCATTGGGTTTTGGACAATGACCCATCTGCTATGAAGGTTGTATGAACTGTACTGAACAGAATAAAATCATAGGGAAAAAGGCAAGAAACTCTACAAAGTTATTTTCAGCATGAATTTATTAATGAAGACTCTTGACTCCTTTACTTGTCTATTTAAAAATGTCACAGTAACTGGAAAAACAAAGAAGGGAGACTGATTTCATGAAACTTGTCCTCATACAAGTTGTGTCTTTCAGCACCTCACTTGTATTCTCCTCACATAAAGTTTGGCACATTATTATGTTTGGAAACCAATATAAGAGATATGAGTATTTCACAATCTTCTTTTTTTTTGGTAGGTGGTAATATTTTTACTGCAGGTATACCCTGAGCATCTTGCATTTTTGTCTTTCTTTCTCCTCCATGTACAAACAAATCCAAAACATATCATATGCCTCTGTGATGTCCTATTGCCAGAATGTGTATGTCATATATATTGTATATGCCATACCCTCCTGTACTAGTGGGGCAGGGCACATATATTTTTAAGGAAGAAGAAGAATTAGGATGAAATTTCTTCAGAATGATACAATACACATTAGTGATTCCCTCACTCTAAAAACTAACACCCAAGGGAAAAGTATCAACTAAAGTTGAAGTCACCAGACATAACAAGGGTAATTTAAGTAACAAAATTACTTTATTATTTAAATATCACTGATTTTTAAAGTATTTTTAAAACCTTCAAAGTTAGCTTTTTTTGTTTGAAGAATCCACCTATTTTACTCAGCAGGATGAATCCCACTTATTTCAAGTACATTTTTCCCATAGAGAAAATGAGGTGGATGTAGCCCTAGCTATGTTATATATGACATTTCATTTCAAGTAGTACATACAGGCCAGTTGTTCATTTGGAAGTGGCATACAAACACTCATCACAAAAAAACCCAGCATATAACACCCAAGAACTATACATAAACATATTCTTGCAGGGGTTTAATGCCATATTTTAAGAAGGAAAAAGCATAGCAAATTTGGAAAAAAAACCAACTTCAAATTGATTAATTTCACAGGAGGGACCAAAGAAAACATAAATCTAATAAGTTTTAGAGTGTTTTTTTGAGGCATTCAGGAGGAAATAACTATGTACAAAGTTCAGCACGCTATTAAAGGGCCTGGCCTCCAACACTGTCTGTTAATTTTTAATACTTTTCAGTTCTTATTTCTAAAATTCAGTATTTTTGTTCCTATGGCAAGGAATTTTAAGTTTTTAAAATCAGATTATTTTAATTTTGACAGAAATGTACACTAGAAATTTCCAATATCTGGTCTCTAGGAAATATGTATCATATAGTCACCTTTGGTCCAGGAGGTCCCCAAACAGATGATCCAGGTGCACCAGGGACTCCTGTCTCTCCACGATCACCCTGTTACAAAATGGAATAATTCAGACTTAAACAGACAGTTTGACTTTTTGAACTAAAAATATCTACAATACAGATCTACCTGCAAAACAAGCAATACTATAAAAAATACTTAAATCAAGATATTGTTCATATGAAAGCTGGTCTAAGTTAAATGTTTTAAATAAGTATTGGTTGAACTGTGTATTTGACTTTTTTTAGTGTTAATTATTTTTTTTTCCTCTGGTTTACAATCCAATGGAAAAACCAGAACACTTATATTATTTCAATTTCCTTTTAATTCATTCAGAGCCACACTTAAAAAATATTATAACGGAAATTTAATGATTCAAAGTAAAAATTTCCTAAATACTCATGGTTAGAATCATTTGGACAACTTTAGTTTGGCTTATCAGTGCTCATGCATAACTATATGTAATTATATCTTTTTCTCCTTGAGGCTACTGTGTCATTTAGGATAGATGATGGAAATATTTCTGCTTTCCCTTTGTTCTGTTAAGTCTCCAAGCATCAGATGATTGAGAATTTTTTACACTGCATAAGCTGCATAAGCTTCATAGATTTTTTAATAGAATACAAAGAGAAGGGTTACCATGGAAGAACAAGCTTACTTTTGCTCCAGCTTGGCCTTTTGGTCCTGTAAGACCAATCATTCCTTTGGATCCTTTTTCTCCAGGGTCACCCTGAAGAAAACAAATTTATTTTTTTTCAATCACAGCAAAGATTCATTCACAGCTGCAGCTACACAAATAGCCCAAACCACAACAATAATTATTAACCCATAATCAGAGAGACATTTAGATGTTCCACTCCAACTGAAATCCTGCTCATTTCTAGAATGTCCTAAATTATATTAAATGGGAGTTAAAATTTGTGTCTCTACTAATGCATCTTTCCAGGCTTTTAATTTCATATTAAGATATCTAACTATTCTCCTAATTTCTCTTAGCTTCTCTTTGTCTATCAACACACTAAGCTAATCTGTCATATCTGAACTTTAATGAAAATTCTGAATTTTTATGAATTAATTTTTATATTAATAAAAATACTGAATTTTTAGGAAATCTCTACTGCTCTATTAACTTAGGCTCTGTGTTTAGCGTCTGATTTTGCTGCACTTGTTCAGGCTCCAGAACACATTGCTCTCTCTCTTCAATCCTTTTAAATCACTAGCCAAAATAGAGTTGATTCTTACCATATAATGAAAGAAAAAATAGGTCAGAATCCAATCTCTTAAAATAGCCTTTAGTATTTCCCCAGTATGCACATCAAGTCATACCTTTTGACCTACAAATCCTTTGCCAGGGGGTCCTTCTGGGCCTCTTGGACCTTCATCTCCCTTTTCCCCCTAACAGAGATTAAATGATTAATTATTTTTCATGTAGTTCATTTTACTGATAGAGTTATGAGAAACAATTCTTGCATAAATACTTTCCCCGAAAATGTCAGTAAATATCCGGTTAATCTTTTTTCCTACAAAGAATAAAGTATTCTGTCTTTTAAAACCCTTCAATCTCCTACATTCATATTCCTTATTTTCACAGGCATTTGTAATAGTGCCGTTTGCAACTGTATAAATTCTTTTTAGGAAAGATTCCATGCATATACTTATAAAAGGAAGAGAAATGCTTGCAAATTTAACAGAAAATATCTTGATAGACCAATTCTGAGAAGTAATTTTAGGCAAGTCTATAGCCAATGGCCAATCCAGGCTGAAAATATTTGCCAGGAACATTACATTAAATAACTCAAAAATAGCCCACACAAAACATTCTATTAAGGAACATTACCTACAAAATATTTATGCATAATACAAGCCAGATTAGTATATCAGGATACCTGTAGGTAATTTAGAGAGTAAAAGGTAGATTAAAATGAGGCTAAAATCCATTTCTGATTTGAACTGTTGATGAAAGTGATATTACAGTGCCTGTTGTTGATAGGCATCAGTCTGGATCCCACTTTGGTGAGACATTGTCACACCTGCAAATAACTGGTGTAATATCACCATGCTACTCACTGCAGGCATCCAGCTGTTCTTTGCACTGCCCTGAATACCCAGGGTAGCTGCTCAGTATTTTTACCTTCAATGGCTTACAACAGGGAAGGTGACAGCACAGAATTAATCATCAGAGTAAAGGCAATATACAAGAGAAAAAACCAAAAACCCAGCATGACCATCTGTAACTTTAACCCAGCATTTACTCTTAATGCTGATGCACTTCTGATACACTGGAATATTACTTTTTGAGTAGGGTTTGATTTAAATTTTAAAAATATAATTAAGTAGCAACAGAAATGCTACATATTTTCTCATCATGGAAGGCTTACTGCTTCAGGCTGGAGTTTGTCTGACTGATATTTGAACTTTTAGGTGACAAAAATATGAAGTTGCATTCTCAATAGATATGTATTTCTAGTCAAATTATTTTCTGATTTAAAGCCTGCAGTCAAAAATACTGATTTGCTTACTCCAAATTATGTGTAGTTTATCAATTCTACATGTCAGCCAGCTGCTACCCTCTTATAAGAGCTGCACAGTAGCCATCTGGAGGCACCTGGATTCTCAGCAGCACTTAAAAATCATGCAAAGCACTGACTTTTGCTTACTCAGCAGCTCATTCATTGTGGAAAGCTTTACAATTGAAAGTTTTAATTTAATTTGCTCTAAATTTACTATTTCGGCCACTCTGCTTTGCACCCCTCTAAATTACTGTTGACCATTTTGAATTTATGCTTCTTTTTCCAAATGTGGTGGAGTTTTTCCTAGATCCTCAGAGTTTTCTTTGAGAACAAAGAGCCCTGGGTTCAGCTGTTTGTGCGGGTTCCTGCACCACAGCTGAGAGGTTTCAGCCACAGCTCACCACCCTGTGAGATGCCCTAAGTCCCACTGATGCAGCGTTACTTCTTGGTGTCAGGAAAGATCTGAACAGGCCACGAGGAACAGGCTAAAGACATGAGCTAGCTGCTCTGCGAGAGGATTGTGAAATGTAGCAGTAGCCAATTGCCCACAAAAGGCAGGGCTGCTTCCCTGCAGCTCATTCAGGTAGTAACCACTGTTTGAGGAGTTTGTTGGACACATCTCTCCCAGTCCCTTATCTCCAGCGAAAGTGTTGGTATGTGCTTTCTTCAAGGGTGAACTCCACTGCAAACCTGTAAATAATCTGTTCTTCCTTCATCACCTTTTTTGTTCACCTTTTACATGTGGCAAAATATATTTCCTTACCTTTTTCCCTGTCAGCCCTTTCTCTCCCTTCACCCCTGGCTCTCCTGGGGGTCCTGTTAGACCTGTATCTCCCTTAAAGAACAAAAAAATTGTTACATCGGCCTATTCAAAAAAATAATTTATTCTGTAAAATGGATCCAAAATTTTGTGAAAATATTAATTAAAGATAAACAATATTTTTCCTCAAATAAAGGTTGTTATTTCCAGTAAGTAAAATACTCTATAGATATTAATTTTTAATATCCATAAAGTAAGTATTTGAAATTTCTCTCCAAGTTCTCCACCTACTTCCTAAATCTTGGAGTTTTATTAAATAAATTTATATTTACTCAGTGAATAAAATAATGACTGAATGCTGTTTGTTATTCTGTGCATAAGAACAATATTATATTAATGTAATTTACTTGCTAAGTCAAACACCTGGGACTTCAAGGATGGTCAACCAAAAATGTCCAATAATTGACTGGACACTAACCCCTCATCATTTGTACAAACTGACTAAAGCATTACTTTTAACATTTACCAGAAAGAGTTTAACAAAGTCATAGGAAGCTGTCCTGCCAAGCATTTATTTCATGATCCAAAAAAAAAAAAAAATTAAAAACAAATATCTGTGCCACCTTACCTGATTTTGGAAGCCCTACTTAAGTCATTAAAGAAATGATTAACAGTCTTCAAAATGGCATCTGAAGCCAAAGGTTTAAGTTTTTTATATCTCTTCCAACACATAGACAGTATAACCACCATTGTAGCACAGACTGGTTTTTTCTTTTTCCCATCAGAAAAACTGGGGGTATAGAGTTAGCAACCTTTCTAACAGGCCCTGGAAAGACCTCACTAGTTTAGAAAAGATTAGGGGAAAACTTTGTTCCAGTTATGGTAGTGGCAATGCTTTTACAACCCTCACTGAAATTCCTTCTTATTTTGACCACAGTTAATTTATACCAAAAAGTCTTCTACTTGGTTATCAACAATTAGTGGAAGAATTAAAAGACCACGTAAAGAACAATTAAAAATAAAAAGCAGGCTCACTTTATGTCCTGATGAGCTAATTCCTGGAAGTCCTGGTTCTCCTTTTTGTCCAGGTCTACCTGGTTCACCCTAGCAACAAAAAGTCTTTAGTTTAATAATAGAGAAACACAGTTTAGCTTCATTCACTTCTTGCACGATTTAATTAGCTGCTTAAACATAGAGGTGAATGTAATCACATTCTACAATTCTGTGATCCTAAGTGGTCATGTTTTCAGCTGGGAAATTATGTTCTTTAAAATCCCCTGTAACTTGTAGGGATGCATCTATTTTATTTAACCCTGCAGTGGGCAGAAAGTCGAAGTGAATCACTCCAAATTTCTTTCTATGCTTCAATGCATTTTATTTTTTACTTTACAGGACTATATCAAAAACTCTTTGGTTCCTGAATGGAAAAGTGAGTCCAAATAAAGAAAACTCAGACATCCTGATTAAGAGAAAGTTTTAGCCTCATAATTCTTTCTTCCTGTAATTCTAAAACAGTTAAAGAGATAGGAATTTCATGTTTCATTTTTGCTTTATCGCCTGAAGAGAATTAGCCTACCACATAACATGTTTCACAGGTACCTATTTTTCTCTACATTAATATTAAATATTGCTGCTTTAACTGCTGCTTATGTGCCAAAATTATACCCAGAAGAAAATTACTGTTTTCTCATGCTTTTTCTACAGTGTCTAACATCTTCCTTTTATAAATCAAGGTGATTACTAAGCACACTTCTGATTTGCAGATCATCAGTTTATT